TTATCTGCCATTTTGTAGCCCCGTCACCCAGTTTTGAGAGATCCTTTTGTAGCTCTTCGCAGTCTGCCTGGGACTTAAGTAGCTTGAATAGTTTTGCATCATCTGCAAATTTTGCCACCTCACTCTTCACCCCTGTTTTCAGATCATTTATTAATATGTTGAATAGGACTGGGCCCAGTACAGATCCCTGGGAGACACCACTCTTTACACATTCTCTTGCTGACTGATGTAAAATTTACTTAGGCCTGCTAAATTTACTTAGAAAGTTGCACTGGTTTAACTTAAATGGTTTTATTTTCGGTTCGGTGGCCTATTTTGGTTTAACTTAAACAGATGCCTAATGAACTGATGCTAACCTGCAGGAAGTCATTCTTACCCTGAAATCAGAGTATCCAAACAGGGGCTTGCACCAATTAAACTAAAATGGTTTAAAAACCTATTTAAGTTAGAGCGGTGCAATTTTCTCCTGTAGACAAGGCCTTAGCACTCATGCATGAGTGACCTGACCTCTCAAAAGCAGCTACAGAAGCCTCTAGCCCTGGTAAAACTTCCTCACTCTCTCCTACTCCTGCTAAGTCATGGGAAATGAGTTTGACTTCTCATTCGCTTAAAACCAGAATCTTTTTTTAAAATATATCTGCTCCTGCTCTAAAAATCTCTGTGTATGACCACTATGGAAACCCCTATTGCCATTCTCTCTCTTGACTATCATCCTATGGTGTTTGCTGGTGTCGTGGCTGACTGGGGAGGGCAGATATTGGACTACGGCACAAACCAGGGGCCTGCATGCTGGCAAATGGGTACTGCTGTAAAGAGAGACTAGCGGCTGCAGATTAACATAATTGTTTTTAAATGGAAAGAACATTCAATTCAAGTTCTCCGCTCCTGCAGCTCTTTGAAAGGAAGGGAAGACTGGTGCTGCTTAGAAGAGAGGCAATTGCCACATTCAACTTAAAAAAGCCTTGGAGAAATCAATTAGCAGCAAGAAGGCTCTTGAAAGAGTAACAGGGATTGACAGAAAGATAGTGGAAATGTGCAAGCTTGTTAACATTTTAAAGTGCTACCCCATTCATCAGACCGATACTGCGGCATTGAAATGTTCCCTAGCATTGTGCTCACAGAAATGTCTGCACTGTGCTTTGCAAACCCATTAAATGTAGATGGATCATGTCACCCACCATAAAACTCCAGCCTCCTGTATAGTGGAATACAGTAGCTACAAGATAGTCCGTTAGCGTTAGTATCAGCAAAAACAACAAGGAGTCCTTGTGGCACCTTAGAGACTAAAAGCGTTCGTGGGTTATAACCCACTTCATCAGATTCAACTCTGCTGATGAAGTGGGTTATAGCCCATGAAAGCTTAAGACCAAATAAATATGTTAGTCCCCAAGGTGCCACAAGGACTCCTCATAGCATTACTATATCCTGTAAAAACAATCGCAACAGTTTAGGACAGGAAGAACAGTGTAGCCAGTTTAAATTGCTATGGCCAATGAGGGAGGGAGACTGTAGTCAGCTAAGGACACTGGATCTAACATCGCTATTACTGTAAAAGATGCTGTGGTGTTTTCAAAGACTACCCAAGGTAAGAATCTGTTTTACCTCTCTTCTCAACTGCCAGCACCTGTAAGAGCATTGTGTCCCATAGCAGCACTGCTTCAAGCGACCAGAGACCCATCTATTGAATTTACCTCTAGCATTTGGCTTGATCCATTCCCACAGCTTCACATACAGAGGGGAAGATATTGCAGCCTACTTTTTCTGGCTACAACCCACAGCAAAAAAATTCAGCTATTCTGCTGCTTGATATAGTGATAGTCCACAAATCACACTGGATCCACTTCACACATCAAGGACAGGAAATTAAATACCATAATCTTATCTCACAGATCCTTACCCCTCACATCTCCAGCCTGAAGAAATTCAGGAGCTTTTCTTAGCCCTTGAAGAAAAGTTCTTCAGTGAGTGACCACAGTTGAACTGGCTCTGATGCTTTTTATGACAGATTCTAGCAGTAGCTGCCAAAGGACTTGAAAGCTACAGGCCAAAGCCATGAAGTAAGTTGCCAAACTTTTCATCTCACCCACTCCAAAACTTTGGCTACAGCTCGGGGAGATCTGCTCCTGTTGTCTTAACCTTGAGATCCCACTGAGATGAGGCAGTTATTTCTACCAGCTCCCAGATCCAGTTTCAAACCACCCCCTTTGCAGCATGTAGATAACATGCTGGCAACAGGCATCCAAAAAGTTTTCATTACTCCAGGGGTAGGCAACCTATGGCACGGGTGCCGAAGGCAGCACGCGAGCTGATTTTCAGTGGCACTCACACTGCCTGGGTCCTGGCCACCGCTCCAGGGGGCTCTGCATTTTAATTTAATTTTAAATGAAGCTTCTTAAACATTTTAGAAACCTTATTTACTTTACATACAATAGTTTACTTATATATTATAGACTTATAGAAAGAGACCGTCTAAAAATGTTAAAATGTATTACTGGCACACGAAACCTTAAATCAGAGTGAATAAATGAAGACTCAGCACATCACTTCTGAAAGGTTGCCGACCCCTGCATTACTCTATGGTAAGCTGCCCCTTTGAGTTTAATGACAACTATTTCCTGGCAGCTGTAGATCTCACAGGTACTGTGGGGTATATGATGGAATTAGAAAGAAGCATCCTCTTTGTCTTCTCCATCACTGTCCCCTTTTGCCTTCTGGATGAAGAAATGATGGGATTTTCTCTGTTTTTTTTTAAAGCTGCACAGGTGGTGAACATGTTGCTGTGATTAGTTTTAAAACCAGAGCAATAGCAGAAAATGGAATCACATTGGCTGACTTTCCCTGCCAGGGAGAGGAGGTAGTGAAGACTTTTCTTCCTTTCAGTGAGCTCTTCCCATATCATCTTACCTCTTTGCATGTATAGTTTCCTAGTCCCATTTGAAAAATAACATGTTTGAAAGCATCTGTCATCCCACAGCCAACCTGAGCCCATCCTGCCTGGGCCAGCATTGTTGGAAGAAGAACTTACATGGGAGGTTACTATATAGAGCTGTTTTCTCAGCGCACAGGGATGGTTGCTGAAGCCAACACATACTTGATGCTTATTGACATTTTACAGGGAGGAGTTACACAACTTCTGGAACTGAAATGGAAACACAGTAGGAGAGCAGAAATCCACCAGTGTATGTTAACCTGAAGTCAGTCAAGTGCTGGTGGGTGGTCTCTGACATACCTGGCTGAGCCCCACATATAAGAAGAGTGTGCATTCCCTCCTACACCTGATTTTTAATTCCCCCTCCCTCCCCCTATTTTCCAGCTCTGAGGCATATCATGGCAGTACTTACCAGGGCATCAAAATATTTGCTGTCCCCACTATCAGTCAGCATGGTTATGAAGAGCTTAAAATGTAGCAGCTACAGATAGACTTTGGTTCAGCATAAAGCTTTTCCTAGTGAGAACTATTTGTAATAATGGTTATTAAAGTCAGAATGCCCAGCACCAGAAACTGTTTCCATCAGGCCTCATGTACTTGATACCATGAAAGCAAGGTCAGAAGTCCCTCCCCCATTTGCCTCAAGCTGCTGAGAAGCAGTCAGGCCCAATTCCATCAACAGCCAACACACTGACTCAACCTTCCCTGTTTTCAGTCAGGGACAAGATGCTTACTTTCTGCCAGGGGTGCGTTTGCTCTGGTATTCCCATTTTCTAGCAGGATTGAATAGACTTTTCCCCCTTTTTGTATAGGCTGTTATTCAATCCCAGCATTTTAATCTTTTGAAAGAATGCACTTCATACATATTAGCATGGATCTTTTGCAATTGTGTATTCTAACTCTAGCCAGTGTTACTACTTAAATATTACAGAAGCCATCCTACGAGGGACTCAACAGTTTCAGTAATTAAGAGCTAGGGACTAGGCACAGTGGAATTCACTTACCGTAACCCTAACATTGCTTTTAGTCCCTAAACTTTCCTACTGAGAAGCCTAAGCGTTCTGAGAGCAGCAGTTCTCAGGGCTGTGCAAGTTAACACAAGCACTTGCTGTAGAATAACCAACCATATTATGCCAAGGTAGTACAAAAGTAGGTAACAGTTTTATGTGGAGAAGGAATTTTGAACTAGTCTGTCATGGAAATAGTTTCAAATAAACAAAATGCACATTAGGCCCCAGGTGAAGGCAATAGCTGATTTTCTGTATTTTGCTAGTGGCCCAGGGGGATAGCTCAGTGGTTTGAGCATTGGCCTACTAAACCCAGGGTTGTGAGCTCAATCCTTGAGGGGGCCACTTAGGGATCGGGGGCAGAATCAGTACGTGGTCCTGCTAGTGAAGGCAGGGGGCTGGACTTGATGACCTTTTGGGGTCCCTTCCAGCTCTATGAGATATACCTATCTCCATATACTATTATTATTATATTAAACTACTATAGTTTAACTTTGAAGAGAGAAACTTTGGTAGCATAGAAACTCACAAGGTCCAGTTTTCTGTCCTCCTCTCCCCTACAGAATGGAAGTAGGATATTTCTTTATTCCAGGCCATGCTCATATTCAGTTTGTGCCTTCCATACATAAACTCTGCCCATTCCCCAATTATAGGCTCAATTCTCAAGAAGTGCTACCTTCTGTAGGACAGAATAGAAGTTAAAAATGGATGAGATTTATTAGGTGAGCTAGTCCCAGTACTGTGCAAGATTGTTCCCTACAGAATTGTCCCTGTTTGCTGTCAGCACCACATTATGTCACAGATGAGAGGGAGTTTTAGGAACAAGCACGTCAGGAGCACAAGACAGGTAACCAAGAGCAAATTCCAAACCTCCCCCCAAGAGCATTTAGTTTTTAGTCATGTAAATAATAAAAGCTGAGAAACGTTTCTCTTTGCTCACTGAAGCAATAGCTTTCACTAGGGCCATCCACCTTACACACATCATTCCTTCCGTGTAGGTGGCGTCACGATTTAGTGCTTCATGACCATAGCAGGGATACAAGGTGTCTGTATAAAATCTTTTATTAAATTTAACATACACAGTCTGAGGTAACAAAAGCGCACACACACAAATAAGTATTTCTAACAGAGGCTGTGGAGAACATCAACAAAGTATGATAAAACAAGCAAGAGTAGCAGCGAGTAGCCAACCCTGTGCCACACAAACATTTAAAGTGCCTCAGAGTGGTTTTATTGCCTGGTGTAATCTTAATTGTGGTCTACATTCCAAAGTTTGACTCTTCCTCAACTATGATGGTTCCACAAGACTAGCAGACTTTGCCTGTTCTAAGAACAGATGGCATTGGAGAACCAGACAACACAGTTTCAATAGCTGTGGGAGTGAAGAAAGAAGAAATACATTTTAAAAGAATAATTTCTTCAGTAAAGCAGGCTGAACAATTTTGCAGCCTAAAGCTGGTGCTGTAGTTTCTAAGAAAGATCATGAGATATGAGCCACCTAACTTGAGAAACAAATGAAGCCACAGCAACACCAGCAAGATGTAAAATTGAGCAGTATTGTATGGGAAGAAGAGCAGACCAAAGCCAAAGCATACTTACTAATAGTCTCATTGCTTTAATGAGACAAGAACCTTCTCCAAAATACATCTAAAATTTCCAGATGACAAATGAGTTTCAGACTCCCATTCTCACCTGCTTGAGCCTATCCAAACTTATCCCTCTGAGCAATGCTGAACCGGCTGGGAAGAACCAACTCCTTTCATTGCTACAGCTAATCTACTAGTCCAGGGCAGAATGTAGAGCAAACGTTTGCACTGCTACCTCACTATAACTGCCAGGCCAGCAACTTCCACCAGCATTAAGTTTGATTTTGTTTTTGCCAAAAGTTTTATAAAGGAGAGTTTGGGGTGAGTATGTTCCTGCAGCAGCTCTGATCAGTAACCATTAATACTGGATATTCATTTGTTATTTAATGGTTACAGCTAGAGCTCAGATGACTTGAGTCTGCAAGGTATCTATGAAGTGCCGCATTTTACAGAGGTAGGCATCACCAAGCCATAGGGAGAGTTCTCCACTTCTTCCTGTGAAGCCCACTAGGGCTTCCAGATCAAATAAGTAAGTAGTGTGGAATATATTCTAGGGAAGGTTCTACTGTACAAACTTTTAAGATGAGGGAATGCAGAAGCTTTTATATTGCAGTCACAGCTCTGTGCCAGAATGGAAGGGAAGAGAATGGAGACTGGTTTGTAGGCAATCGCTAATGCATCCACAGCAGAAGGACAAGGCCCAGAGATCTGATTAATTTTTAAAAATCTGTAACAACATATTTCAAACAATTTTTGCCATTAATTCCAAGCACTGTTCTCCCTCCATAAATGGTGCTGTTGTGACTTCACATCAGTTAAGTCTGCTTCCTCCCCCAAGACCCCCTCCCAACATGCCTGTGTTGGCAAGGTCTCCTGTATGGCACACGCGTACATTGAGACAAAAGAGGAGCTCTCTTCTATCTTTCTCTGACAATACATTCCTGTCCCATAATATCAATTGTGTCCAAAGATACTGTAGCCCACCTTCGAACCACAAGTTAAAATAGAGCTTAGGGCAAGAAAAGAATTGGAGGGAAAACCAGGGCTACTTAGTCACCTTCCTGGAACTAAGGGCTTTTAGAAAGAGTTAAATATCAATCCCAGAGGTGTTAATTATTTTCAGACAGGTTGGAAATAGGTTGAGTCCCTATTTACCTGCCAGTACTCCAGTTCAGTCCTTTTTGTTTCCCATGTCAGAGTAGCTGGGACAAACAGCTGACACAGCAGACAGCTTCAGTCTCTAAACTACTTAAGGTAATAGCGATGCATACATTCCAATAACAATTTGGCATATTAAACAGTCTTTGTATTTATTTTAAGAATGCATTTCTGTTAATCTAAGCAAGAATATTCACAAACTACTGTGATGAAAATACATTGTTTCTGCTAGAAAGTTTTTGGATAAACATTAGATTAGATTACACCATGCCACTCTTTCAAAAACAGCCACCATTTAGTTACATGGCCAAGTACCATGGAATGAAGTAATTACATGGAAAGCTCTAATTAAACACTGCACAAGACAATCCTCATCTGCTGTACCAAGGACAGTGGAATTGACACTTCGGAGCATGGCCACCGAGTTGATAAGGTTGGCAGCCCCAGTCACCAACATCCTTCTTCACTATTATACAAGTGAAGGGTCAGTCTGCAATACTCCATTAAAAAAATTGGGCAATCTATATAGGACTTGCATATTAAAATTACTATACAAATAAATAATTGTTCCTTTACATACAACCATTGGGGGAAATGGGAAGCAGTCAAGATTTATTCTGATCAGTCTCCCTCAGGATCAAACCATTAATCCAAGGAGAATTCAGAGGTATTGGTCAGGATGCCTGTGTGATGGTAACAGTGGAATACAGGACCTGTGGAAGAAGCCAGTCAGAATCAAAGACCTCACCACCACACCTTAATTAGACTAGCATTCCAAGGACAAGAACCCTTATTTCAGATTACATGTTAGCAGGGAAATTCAGTTTCAATTCCAGCCCAGACTGGTGGCAACTGAAATCTTTTACCATCTGATGTCTAGTTAGTGGTTTGAGACTAATTCCTAGGGTAAAACTTTCTACATAGCTAAACCACCACTGCACTGGTTCAACAGAGAGGTCAAAAATTGAACAAGCATCAAGTGAGCTATCCTGTCTCCTGAGAGGAGACTGCTGGAGCAGAGGACTGAGACAGTCATATAGGGCTTTGTGGGGGAATTTGCCCTGCCCTGCCTGCTGTACCTGCAATTCAGAGAGGGGACTTCAGTCTCCAGATTTACTGTTAAAACACTGCAACCACCATGTGAAACTGATGATGTTTCCAGTCTTCTACAGCAGTGGTTCTTTTGTACTGGTGACCCCTTTTACGCAGCAAGCCTCTGAGTGCGACACCCCCCCCTTATAAATTAAAAACACTTAATATATTTTACATCATTATAAATGCTGGAGGCAAAGCTGGGTTTGGGATGAAGGCTGACAGCTCTCGACCCCCCCCCCATGTAATAATCTCCCAACCCCCAGTTTGAGAACCCCTGTACAGCATCCTTTATGCTCTTGTACCCCATTAGCTTAAGAATTCACAGTCAAATGATAGTAAACAATCTAACACTGATCTGATAGTTAGTGTACTGTTGGGTACGAGAGTGCCTTACACCAGTGGTTTTCAAACTTTTTTTCCTCGTGACCCAGTTGAAGAAAATTGTTGATGCCCGTGACCCAACATCATAATATCTTTTGACTAGTTTTCTTAAAATCGTAATATTGCAATATGTTCCAGCTTACCCCACTTTACATAACTAGCTAGACACTAGCCTTAGTAACCTTATGGTAAGGAGTGTGGGAGGTGGCCCAGGGTAGGGCAGAGGGTGGGGTGCAGGGGTGAGGGCTCTAGGGTGGAGCTGGGGATGAGGGGTTCAGGGCTAGGGCAGAGGGTTGGGATGCAGGCGGGTGAGGGCTCTGGGGTAGGGTCAGGGATGAGGAGTTTGGGGTGCAGGCAGGCTGCCCCAGGGCTGGGGCCAGAGGACTCCCCCCAGCCCTCCCCCTGCTGGCAGGGGGCACAGAGCTCCAGGGGAAGGGCCTCTCCCCCCCTGCCGGCAGCAGCCCTGCAAGCCATAACTTGCTCCCCTCCCCAGTTCCCGCCCACCCCCTACTTCTCTCTTCTTCAGGTCCCTGTTGCACGGCCCTTTAGAGCTGCTGCGCAGCAACGATCGTTATAATTTGAATCAGCCAGGCGACCCAGTGCCTGACATTCTGCAACCCAGTCCTGGGTCGTGACCCGTACTTGGAAAAAAAACTGCCTTAGACCACAAGTTTCAGGTTGGGGTCACTTGCTTCTCAGACTGATATGAGCTAGAGGTGCCCGAAAGACATTCCCAGCTCCAGGAAGAAAAAACTAGCAACCCTTATAGGCAACTGTGCTTCAGCATGGTAGGTTTGAGAGAGCCCAGTATTCTTCAGCAAGAAAGCTGGGGTTTTCTATCAGTGAGGAAAGGATGCAAGAGACCCCTTTGGGGGCAAAAGAAGGGCGATTGGTATCAATCTCTATTGCAGCTCATTTCAGCTAACATTTCTGCAGTCCGCCATGGAGAACAGTCTTATAGCAGACTTAAAAATAGAGGCAACAATTAGAAAATTACAGTGAATTAGTGTAATTTGCAACAGAATGAAGTGTTTTGGTCACTACCCTACTAACGGCTTTCTGCTTCCTCATTACAATATACAAAACATTTGACAGAAAGAATTCCTGAAATTTGTGCTGTACACACTTGAGGTTTTAACAAAGCTGCTACTGTCTATTCTCAAAAACAAAACTAACACAAAAGGTCAAACAACAACATGCAATGACTAGGGCCAAAATTTTAAAGTGTGAGCATAAAGTCAGACCTAATCAGCAGCATGATTTTCATAGGGGCCCAGGAAGGGCACAGAGACACACTCTAGCAGATTCTATTTGAGGACCGAGGCCTGTTTATAAAAGCAGTTTTGAGGCAGGAACCCCACCTTTCTCTGTGTATAGCACCTTACTGAGTACAACACGACCCCCAATCTGATAGGGCTCTTGGCACTAACATAACAGTCAACTTTTCATTATATAACCTGGCTCACATTTGTCTAACATGCAAGAGAGTGCCAAACACCACCTTTTAAGGTGCATCCACACATGGAAAATATGTGGTAACACACAGTAATGAATGTGTGCAAAACCCATTACAGGTGCTTATTAAGGAGAAACAGGTTAATTTGACACTGGTTTCTTATCTCCTGTTCTATTACCTATAAGTGTGCTGAGCAGTTACCACTCATGGGGCCATACAATATACTGAACCCAAAATATTGCTCCTATAGAGCAGTTATCCTGACAGTGAAGCGTGCAATCAAACTGAAAGAAACCAAGCAATGAATCTAGGGAACTGCTGTTAGATATAAAGAATTTAGGCCAATCAGGTCAGTATCAAAAACTAGGATTGCAAGTCTGAAATGAGATTACCCCAGTACAGACACCAACCTGATCACCCCTTGCTGCTATGAACGTTGGCGCTTTTTCCCATATGAGATTCTCCTGATTCGAATTTCTAGTTGGAAGGCATCCAGTCTTTCCTTTGGGTTAAAAGTTAACATGTCATGCAGGAGTCTGCAGAGATCATTAGGCATGGACTTCTTGTTCTTCAGAGGAATTTGCAGTTCCATGTTGGGATTCTCCAGCAGTGCCTCCCCAACAGGAATAAGCTGCTTGCCTTGACAGATGTAGGTTCCTGGGTATAGTTTGTAAAGAGGGAGAAGTCAGATTGGGGAAAAGGAGAATCCACACCACACGTCCATCTGACAAGCAACACAAGATTTATTAGTAGAAGTTCACAGCATGTGAAACCCAACTTCGGAGGCTACTGCCAAGATAAGTGTTGTAAGATACCAGCCCCAGAAGAAGTTCATTACCAAAATAGGAACCATTAAGTTGGTCACATCCCCATTTCTGCACAAGTGTGCATCAAGCAGAGGGAAACAGAAAGTCACTTTTAAATTTGGCCTGCACAGGACATTGTCAAACGGTTATAGGGATTGCATGCAAAGAAAAACAGCCTGTTGCAAAGAGCTTCCCCTACTCCACTCTGTTTCAATTAATTTTACTGCATCAGTAGAACTGGAAGCTAAGAAAGACAGAGGCAGGTTGTGTTTGGTTCACTTTAGATGACTTAGAAAAAAGTTAACTGAGCAAATAGTGATTCAAACAACTTTTAATAATAAATGACAGTATGTTCCATTTACCTTTATCCAGACTGCTGGATACAGCTTCTCCTCAGCAAAATTAAGGAACAGAAATGTAAATAAAGACTGGTCAAAGTGGATTAGCTGGGTTCCAAAGAGACAGCAAAGGAAACTCTGCTCAGTCAAGCTGCTCTGCCCTCGCAGCAAGCATTGAATAAATGACCGATCTGCATGTGGAGGTTAGCCAGGCAAGTCTCTTATCTCGAGCTGGCGGATGGCTATTGAATAAACTTTAATGAAGTCTGTTCGTGCCTTGGTCTCAGACCCAGAATATTTACTGTTTTTCTAGCCAAGAACTAAAACGTTTTTTTCCTGTTTGGCATTTTGAAAAGGAACGATCTCAGTTCTTAATTCCATTATGTTTTGAAAACTTAAAGCAGCCGCTCAGTAAAAGGAGCCCTCTCTGAATGCCTTTATTGTGACTTGAAATTATGATAACGTCAGATATTTAAAAAAATGTGTACATTAGGCTTCCTTGAGTAGGAGTTGAAATGCCTCTGATTAGTATGTTCATATAAAAGATTGTCACTCTGTTCTTTCAAGGTGCATTTTCTGTTGCAATATATATTCCTAGAATCACAGACCATCCATCCCTGTAGAATCTTGTTCAGCCAGACACAGCACTAAGGATGACTTAAACATCCCTTCCAGCCTCATAACCTATTTTCTTACATGTCCTTACAATCCTTTGGATGGGTCCTTTGCCTTGTGGCCTTTAAATATACCACCATCAGCAGGACAAAAATATACCAACTGTAGATCAGCCCATCTTCAAGGAAAGATACCCTTGCAGTAAATGTAATAAGGTAGAGCAGAGGTTCTCAAACTGGGGGGTGCAGAATGTATTCGGGTGGCGGCGCGTGAAGATTTAGGGGAGGGGGGGGGGAACTTACTGTGCACATTTTACCCCCAGCAATGAACTAGCAAAGATGATTCCTCCAGACATATCAGGTCCGCATTTGACTCTAGATGGCAATGTGCATTTTGATGGATTTCTGTTAAGCTTGCCTAGCATTATACAAATTGCCATTTGTAGGTTAATCCATTTGCACATTTAAGTGTCAGCATGGACCACAATTGCAGTTTTGCTTTTGCTCTTATTACAATGGATCATTGGCTCATTCGTGCCACAGAAAAAAACAACTCAAGTGAAAAACAAAGACGCCAAAACTCATTCAAGTGAAGCACCGCCACCGCACGTATCAGTAGATGTACTTGTGTGACGGGAGGTGGGCGCGTAAACTACCACAGACACAAGGAAGGGGGGGCCCAATCAAGTAAGTTTGAGAACCACTGGTAAAGCAGACATGGCTATAAAGCTGCTGAATCTTGACCATAGAGTGTGGATATACTGAAAATGCTTCACCAATGGAATTGAACTCTGAGTTTCAGTATTTCCTTTGGAATATGTTTGGGTTTTTGTTTTGGAGTTCTTTGGTTGGTTGATCTATTAAAGTTCATTGGAGCTAGTCCCATTTCTGCTGAACACCTGTTGATCTCCCAACCCCCTATCCTCCATGGATGGCCCAAGCCAGGCGACAAGTTTTCTTCTCCTGGCCGTTTATGTCTCAAAAGTTTTTTGTAAATGGAAAAGCAGTAGAGATCATAAAAATCTAACAAAGCTTTCAAACAGAAGTAAAGTTAAGAATGTGCTCTAAACATGTTGCTCCTAGGTCTTAAAGATTGGGGAGTCCCGCAAAGGAAGCAGACTCAACATGAGGAAAGGGGTAGGGAGAAAGGGGAAGAGGGCTTTATGGATTTCTGGCAATACCTCTGGTGCAGACATGGAGAAATGTTGACAGACTCCAGAGGAAGCCATATCCAATACTATGCCAGAAAAAAGGGTGGTGATGTGACTATACGTGGGAGAAGGATCCTCAGGGATTAGAGGATTGCTGGGGATAGGGCAGGAGAATGATCTATACATTATGGTTCATTGCTGGCTGTACAGCAATTATTCTCACCAAGTAATTCCTTCTCAGAGTCTCCATCCCTGAAGGTAATCCTCTCTACCATAGCCCAGAAAATGATCCCGAGGGCAAAGATATCAGCTTTGGCAGTATAACGACCTTCCCACACTTCTGGTGCCATGTAAAAGTTTGACCCACAGGCTGACGAGAAGCAATGCTGGTTCACATTCACTTTCCCCTGGCATATTTTACTCAGGCCAAAGTCTGCTACCTATAGACGAAAAGGGGAGAGATTAGGAGGTCACCATTATTACCTATATCACTGTACTGTGCATACAGGCATGAACAGAACAGCAATTGAGCAGGTAGCTATATTGAGTGCTCTGAACTCTATTATATTCACTATTATCTGTATTGAATAACAAAACTTCAGTTTGATTGTCCTTTGGCTGCTCCAAAGGTGAAAGCAATATGCCAGTATTGATCTTGAGGGCCAAGACATGGGTTACCCACAAGGGACAGGCCTACCATCCTCTGAGTTAATTGCTGGAACTCCCGTGGAATTGGGAGTAAACTGTGAGTTGACTTTCTTGCCACTAAGCTGCTCTTCCCATTGAATTATTACAGAGAAAGACTTGTTTTCAGTCTGTCACTATAAGAAAGAGAATTAGTCAGTCTTCATTTTAACCATGAAGACCCATGGCTGGAGCCCAGATGAAGCAAGAGACAAGAAAACCTCTTGCTTCCAAAACAGCAAGTAGTGCTATAGACTACAATATTGGAAGTGTTGACAAGTGTGTAAGGACTGTAGGTCCACCAATAAGGGAAGGGAATATGCTGTATAAACCTTTGAATACCTTATTCTCAATATCTTCATGCTTCCTTCCCATACCCCCAAAGGACAAAACTAATCTGTTCCAGAAAGCAGGAACCATAGAAAGGTTAGTTGCAATCAGTTAATCCAGAGTGTATTTAAAATGTCCCTCTCTGCGAGCAACTTTACCCTCTACCATTTAGTGTGGCAACCCTCTAGTCTCAGTGTTACCAAGTATAGCCCCAATAGGTCCTGGACCCAACAGTGTGATTGCACTGAAATCACAAGTGCCCTGCTGCTTTCATTGAGAAAATATTCCACCACTGATCAGGAACACAGTGGCTAGGTAGTGGTTTAAAACTGAATTAGCCCTAAATTGTTCCTCTTAAGGGAATGTCTTGTGCATGAAAGATGCTACAGAAATGCGCTCAGGATTCCCCGAAGAGGCCAAAAGGTAACTGACTGCCCCACACCCTCACCAAAATTCTCTTTTGAGACTCATACAAGTGAATTGCCCATCCTTGTCTAAAAGTTCAAAGGGAAGGAAACAAATGAGGAAACTGAATATTACAATATTATACAAGTGACCAACTCAGTGCAAGTAATGCAATTGGCATAACACTTCACCCACATATTGAGCAGCAGCAAGAAGGATTCCCCTCTTACCTTTACTACAGGACCTCCAGGGCTATGGGAAATAAGAATATTATCTGACTTCAGGTCTCTGTGCACAATCTGATTTCTGTGCAAGAAAGCAACAGCACTGCTCAGCTGCTGCATGAAGCTATTATTCAGCTGAGAATCTGGAGTGCGAGACAGCAAAAAATCATTCATGTTTCCACCATCACAGAACTCCATCACAAACCACACAAAACAGGCAGACTTGGGGTCCATGCATCTCCGCCCTTTCAGACAGGTCTCAATCAGCAGCAGATGACTGTCCGATTTCCTGTACTGGCGGCTGATTGGCTGAAAGACTTGGCCACTCTGCAAGACGCACTCTTCTAACTGGATCACATTCTCATGTTGGCTCTTAACACTTTGCAGGGCCCAAAACTCTTGCAAAGCCAGTTCCACATTTTCAGGTACGTTACAATGCATCCTTTTCACGGCCACTTTGTTTCTGGTTTGACTGACAACTGCCTCGTAAACTACCCCATAGCTCCCTCGGCCCACTTCCCGTACAATGTTGTACTTAGCTTCTGTAGCCATATCTTTTTGTGGCCCAGTGGGCAATAGACAAAAACAATCTTTGAAGTCATAACACTCCTCAGACTTTCACCTGCAACAAAATCCTGAAAGAGAAAGACAAGGAAAGTTTGGTAAAAATCTGACAGCTCACCCACAATGCTTCATGTGCTTCTGTTTGATCCTTTAGTTTAGTGGTCTATATTTTATTGTGTGTTGCTTGGAACATAGAAGCCTGTTGCCTAGGGATTGGTAGCAACAGTGGGATTTTAAGAAAGAAATCGAGCATGGACACATCTTTCAAGAATCACTGTTCAGCACAGTCCTGCTGCACAGTTTGCTACAACCACACTGCAAAATGGCACTGTGCAGAACTAAACTGCTGCATTAACAGTAAACACAATGAACAATGTTTGGTAAAGAGAAAGGTGACCTTCCCAGTGCAGAGTGCATCCCCCAGGTAGGGGAGAAACGGAGGAAGACATCACCTGAGCAGCAGCTTCTAGGCAAAGCTGGCTTGCCAACACTGCCTCTCCAAAGGTGCTGAACAGACAGGAACATTAATTCAGCCCCACCCCACCTCACAACAGCACCAACCCCTACACCCACTCCCCACATCTGCAGTCCCAAATCCCACTCCCTCACTGACTAGCCACATGCACCCGCTGTATTGTCACCCCAGTGCCAGCTATCCCCTCCCCTGACTCCCAACCCCAAAACCCAGCCACTGAAGTCCCTCCATCCCTCTTCATCTTCCAACCGCCCCAACCCCTCATCACCTTCCCACAGTCCAGCCATCACATCCCGGTCTGCACTAATCCCTCACCCTCCCCATGGCCCAGCCATCACCAGATCCTGCCCCCCCCCCCCCCCCCCCCCCCCCCCCCTGGCCCAGCCATCACCACAGCCTGCCCGCCCCTCCCCCTCCCCCTCCCCATGGCCCAGCCATCACCCTGCTCTGCGTCCTGCCCCCTCCCTCACCAACGGCCCAGCCCCCGCCGCATCAGCGCCCGGGCCCCCAGCCCAGCCTCCGGCACACTGAGGCGAAGGCTGCTCAGGGCCCCGACAGCCCGGAGCGGAGGTCCGCGGGGTCCTCACCGCTCCGCGCCCCCACGGCTCCCCTCAGCGCGGGGGAAAGACCCGGCTCTGCCCCGCGCTGACCTACCCGGCCGGTCCCCGCCGCACTTCCCGCCACGGCCACGCGACACAGCCCATTGGCCAGCGCCAGCCAACCAGCGAGGAGGGGCGGAGCCTCGGGCGCACACACACCAACCAGCAGCCGGAGGGGTGGAGCCGCAGCCACGCACCCACCAACCAGCGAACACTTGGGCTCGCTCCGTGAGCGTGGACACTCACTGCGCCGCCCCGCCTCCACCGCGCATGCGTTCTGAAGACCGACTGGGAGGCGTGCTGGAGAGAGGGTGGCAAGGAGACTCCAAACCCCAGCATCCCTTGCGCGAAAATCAGCCCTGACGGCTCATAGGTAGAACCAATGCATGCTGGGAATCGTGGTCTCAACAAACTACACAGGCCTGCTGCTAGAGTCAAGGGAACGCATTGCAGTCTGGGGACTGTAGTCTCTGTAGGCTCATGGGCAGCTGGGGCATTGGTGGGCTGGAAGCTGCCAAAACCCTCCTTCCCCCCCGCACGCGGTGAGACCCACCATCTCCCCTAGGGCTGACCACTGTCTGCAAAGAGAGACTGCTGAACTCGCATTAATATGCAAATTAGACACAATTAACTTAGCCCTAAACAGAGACTGGGGATGGTTGGGTCATTACACTAATTGAATTTTTTCCCCCCCATGTTAAGTTCTCCTCACACCTTCGATGGGTCATCTCGATTATCACTTCAAAGTTTTTTCTTCTGCTGCTCCTGATAGCGCATCTCAATCGCTTGGCCTCTTACAGTTGGTATGGGCACTTCCACCTCTTCATGTTCTCTGCATGTATAAATATCTTCTGTCTGTGTGTTCCACTCTATATGCATCCGAAGAAGTGGGCTGTAGCCCACGAAAGCTTATGCTGAAATAAATTTGTTAGTCTCTAAGGTGCCACAAGTACTCCTGTTATTTTTGCGGATACAGACTAACACGGCTGCTACTTTGTAACCTGCTTCCTGTAGGGAACCCTCACACTGGGACCTGCCTCTTCCCCAGCCACTCAATGAAAAAACAACACACACACTCATGTCTGTAAAGCGCTTAGGCACCTAAATCCCTTTGTGTATCTAGTCCTAACTGCAACTTTAGGTATCTGAATCCAAAACTTAGAATTGCAGAACCTCTGCTCAGCTGCCACCTAATCCTGTACGCACTTAAATTTCTGACACTGCATATGTACAAAGCCACTAAGCCAGGGGTTCTCAAACTGGGGGTTGGGCCCCCTCAGGGGGTCACGAGGTTGTTACATGGGGGGGTCACGAGCTGTCAACCTCTACCCAAACCCCACCTTGCCTCCAGCATTTATAATGGTGTTAAATATATAAAAAAGTGTTTTTAATTTATAAGGGGGGGGTGTCGCACTCAGAGGCTTGCTATGTGAAAGGGGTCACCAGTAAAAAAGTTTAAGAGCCACTGCACTAAACTGTTTGGTGCCTAGCCCACACCTAAGCCCCAGTGGGGTCCTCAATCTAGGCATTTGCCGTAGGCGTTCTCACAGGCTGCCTTCGAACATGAATGCTGAATTGAGCCCTGCACAAAATGTGGTAGTGCCTCTTGTATACCTGAGCACTCACCTACCATGGGGGAGACCCAGATTCAAATTCTCACTCTGCCTGACTTGCATCAAGGACTTGAACCCACGTCTCCTACATCCCACATGAGTGCTCTAATATAGGGTATATTTGGGGGGATGGCGGGGGGGGTCTTTCCTTGTTGCAGCTATTCCACTTTGTATGAAATAAATGTCCATTGGGCCAGAGAAGGAACAAAAATGACTCTATAGCCTGGGGATAGTACACCCAGGTTCCAGTTCCTACTCCAGAGACTATTTAGGTATTTCATACAAAGCGGAACAGCTTCAACAGGAGGTGCTCAGTGCTAAAGTTCTCCTTTCGCTCACATGAGCGAAAGGAGAACTTCTTTAGCTGCATGTAGTTGTTGTAAATCCTTTAGTCTGTCTCTGTTCCACCAACTAAAGGACAACATCACTTACACAAACGCCAGTTCATTATATCAAGTTCACTGGCTTCTGGTTCTCATGTCCTGGGCCCATTTCCAATTTGCATTTGCCTAGTAACTCCTGACTATATTTAACTTTGGACCAAATCCCTTGTTGGGTAGCACTCACTCCAGAATTCCAGCTGCCCACTTTTCCATAGCCTGACCTGCCATCAAGAAAGCTGTCTCTTTCTTGTACTGCCCTGAAGTGCTCTAGCATAATTCCAGCACTCACTACCTGAAGCGCCTGTGATGTAAATATGAAGACATCTTTCCATAATGAAGCCAGATGTTTGCTTTGTAACATGAGCAAACATTTCACTTTTGAATGATGGCTTTAGGCTAAAGGCAAAGAAGAATAATGGACTGGTGAGACAAGCGGAGATGTCAAATATATCACAGATGAAGGAAATATCATTTAAAACAAGGCAGGGAGAAAAACATAAATAGTAGCTGGTGTAAAATCTACCCAAAGTCACAAATTTAATTTGATTTAGTATTAATTATTATTATACACAGGATGGTTACACCGCCTGTTATTAAGGTTGCCTGACACTTCCCATTATAAGACCCTGTTTTCAGTTGCTTATACCTTTGCCAAATTTTAACCATTGTGCAATTTCCCATGCCAGGTGTCTGCCTCAGGCTGAATATTTCTGGAAAGTTTCAGCCAAAACAGTTCAGCCATTTCTGAGAATGAGGCTAGGGGAAAATGCATTATTTTGGAATATTACAAAAATTCTGGTGACCTATTCTTTAAGAAGTTCTAGCACCCCCATAATATGGTGCAGGAATTTGAAATTAGTCAGGGTAGTGGCCTTTGTGTCAGGGATGTGCCTTTTCCTGTTCTGGTGAAAATCTGACCAAATTTATCCAATGTATAAGCCTTTGAAAAAATCTCAGGTTGCACATGCTCAGTGGAGACTTCTTCGACTTTAGCAGAAAAATTTCCAAAGATTCTGTCTTCAACAAGCATGCTCCAGCCTCTCACAGTTTCTAGTGCTCACCAGATAGCACATGTGCCATCCCCACAGTGACTGGGCATATGCCACTCTCTCACACCTCCTATGTGTGCCAGGATTGAGCATGGTCCCTCTAGTCCAGGCTGCAGGGGTGAACCCAGATTTTCCCTGCTATGGCTCCCGGCTGGGGTTGGGCATCTGGTGAGATTGGGACTAGAGGGAGAGAGGACTATAACTGGGGCTGAGGGGAGGAAGGCTCGGACTGGTTGATAATTGGGCTTACAAATTTACCCTAACTGTGAGTTCAGCTGTAACATATATAAAGTTCATGAGATATCACAGAAACCTAGGATAACACATGTTGATGGGGAAAGACACGAAAGGGAGACAGACTGAATTAGTCCAAACAAAAACACCTTCTGATATAACTCAAAGAGTATGTTAAAATCATGCCTTGTAAACAAGAAAATGAAGGTCTGGAAATTATGAACCAAAATCTGTGTGTCAGTTATTAGACCTAACTGGTGGACAAAATAATGAGGGGATGGGCTAGTCCATTCATCACTCCCTTTTTGGGTCCTTAAAGAAAGAGACTTTGGGTGGAAAATAAAGAACAGACAGGGGCTCCGGAAGGAAGCTTCACCATCATGGCTGCCATTCCTACCATCTCCTGGGACCCCGGGCCTTCGTCATCATAATCCTGAGAGATGACCTGACCAGACCGGGTCAGAGAGAGAGACCCAGATAACATGGCTCCAGCTGAATCCTAACCACCACCTGGGATGAAATGGGATTGGACTTTAACATCAGCAACAACAGCTCCAGCCCATCTTAGCTAACTTCTCTGTTCCCCAAAAGGACAGTTATTACCATCCGAATACCCGCTAAGAGGCTGTCAAAGGGGT